GGATAAAGGAATCACCTTATTTTAGACTTCTTTGGTATCGAACGGTTAGGAAAAGTCCTTCGCGATGTTGATTGAGCTTTTTATGTAGCTTGACGTCAGTTGCAGACATAAAGCCGACGAACAGGTGGTGTGTGTCGACACTGGTTTTTCCGTGTCTTTTCTAAGATTCGGGGCAAAATGAATATCTGGTTAATGCTTGAAAATCCAACGTGTCTCCATTATTGAAAAATTTAAACATAATAGCTTGGCGACAGCAAGTTTGAAAATTTCCTACAAAATATGGTCGGAAGAGTGTCCAGCAGACAGGATCCGTTGGAGATGGCAAACAGGGTGATCGTCCAAAAACAAGTTGTTCAAATGACAGTATGGAAGCAGTGCGAAAGAGTGTCGCTGACAATCCAGGAACCTCAATTCGGCGTCGTAGACAATAATTACACATTTCATGAAACTCTCTTTACGGTATACTCATTAAATATCTATTTCTTCATGCTTACAAAATTCAATTAACATAACAACTGAAGCCTAATGACATAATATACAGGAAAGAAAGCTTGTGGAATGGATGGATGTTGATATTTCGAACAAAATTATCCTAAGTTATGTGGCATATTTCCACCTTAGTGGGTTTTTAAATCGCCAAAATTGTCCCTTTTGAGTTGCTGAGAACCCACCGATGATTGCCGCAAAACAAAGGCATCTACAGGTGCCACTCTTGCTGTAGATTTTACGATGTAGGCATAGTTGGATAATACTTTTTTGAAAATCTGACTGGTCTGCCAGCTGTGACTGGTACTAGTGCTTGATATGATAACCCAGTTCTTTTTTCCGCACGGTGCCACAAGTCAAACAGCCCGTGAAACACTTCAATTACTGTATGAGATATTTTCGGGTCGTGTACTCTCTCGTGTTGGTGATCGAAATTGACACCCTAGATGGTGTGCCACATTTTTGCAGAAACCCGACTAATTGTTAAACTCATTTTTAGTTAAAGCAAACTGTTTTAGTTCACTTTTGAGGTCCTTGACTTTTGGTAGCAATTTCAAATTAAAATATTTAAATTACAATAATTGCAATTAAATGTAATTACTGAATTCGAAAGATCAATTATAATTATATTACAAGGTCAACAGCAAAGAATAGAATAATTACATACACATATATGACATGTAGGACCAACAACATAATAACCAGTTCGCCTTAACGCGTTAATGGATTTGATCCTCTATGAAAATTCTCAGTTTGATTGAAATACTGGATTGATGTCAATACTTTTAAAAGTTTCATTTGAATTTGTACTACGTGGTGTACTTCACATGGGGTATATTAACTTTGTTCATCTAAGTATTAATACGTAATAGCCCTAAATTGTATAAGAACTAAGTTTACTTTTTATTCTCTCGCCCCGGTCAAAGAGCAAAACCATGATTCCTTTTGCAAGCCCTTTGAAGGTGTGCGAGCTGCCTCGCCACGGGAAAAACATATTTCTAAGAGCGGATGGAAATTATCTTTCTAACATCGACTTGCCACAGTCACGCAATTTTTCGTTCCTCTTAAACTCCTACTTTCTGATAGCTGTCATCAACTATGCTGCTGAAGGGAACGGCGGTGAACCATATATTTTATACTAAACCCGTGAGTATGGAAGACATAAGTAGCCGTTGAACAGACGCGGTGGTACGGCTTACAGAAAAGCTCTGTAGATCGCACCGCCTGCCTTATTGCAGCAATGTGAACCAGTGAACCAGAACCAGAACCACTAAACAATGATAAAGTACGATTAGCAATTCCTATTCAAGTATTCAAACTGACCGAAGGGCATATATTTACTATATTTTTATAATTTTACTCATTGGGTCATAAGTGTGCGCGATGGAATCAACAAAACTCCGTGCAATTATGATATCTTTATATGTGGGAATCGTTCACTGGATCTTTCCATGAAAATATCGAAAAATGAATCTAGATGCATTACCCTCTAAAAACTGTTACCAACACCCAAGAAGAGCTCGCAGAACCTTAAGGAGTTACTCAAGAAGCCATTTCAGATCTTTCGATGAAGTCGGATACAGCAAATAGCAGTGGCATCGAATGCAATGAATTGAAACCAAGAAATGATTTTGCATGCCAATAATGTTCTTTGAATACTATAAAAGATCTGGTTTAAGTCGGCCACAATCTTAAGCTCAAAGCAAGTGCACGCACTGTATATTGTAGGATTCTTCATTCAGCATACAAATGGCAAGCTTACAGCCTCCAACTTCATTAGAGGAACACAACCTACAACTCCTACGAGCGCCCTTGTAGCTCTCCAAAGTCTACTCTAGTCAGGCCAGTATGGAAAAATTCAGTCAAACTGCAATGTCATAAGACTAAATGCAACTCAGCGCTAGAGAAACCGCCGTATAAAATACGCCTAAATACTAAGTTCTACACCATTCTTGAAAGATTAAGCTTTCTGTATCGACAATACTTGAACCTCTATAAGACAAAAAAAAACGCCATATCACCAGCAATTGAGAAGAGCAAGAGACTTCCAGACCACTTCGACAGACCGGAGCGCTGCAAAACAAAGGGAACTATTGGTGCGGAAAATGCTACCGACAACAACTATTCAAGTTGAAGCGAGTAAATACGAAGCGATAATTTTTAATCATGTTGCAATACCGGTTAAAAACTATTTAGACCTTGCCGCTTCTGACTACCATTAAGGTCGGTCTATGCCAAACACGCTCACGGGAATCTACGGTACACATTAGATTATAATACAGGGTATTCCAATAAGAGGCGTGATTTTGGTATTCGAAGAAAGAAGAAATTTTTAGAGATAAATGAACGGATATTTCTTTCTATAAAAAGAAATTAATAACGAATAATAATATCATTTAACGGCCGTCAGGGCTACGCTTACAGGACCGTATCCTTTTTATGAAATTTTCCATCACAAATTACAACACGGATGCTGTGTGCTGGGTTTATGCATAGCTTCCGAACTCCATCTGTGACGCCTTGAATCGTTGTCGGCCTGTTGGTGTACACCTTACACAGGTTGCAAGGTGTTTAATCACATGATCTCGATGGCCAATTGCGATCATCTCTTCGAGAGATAACAAGCCCCGGAAATTTTTCTCTTAAAATATCGATGGTTGTTACCGTAAACGTAAAAGTAAACGTTGTCAGATCAATACCATCCAATGCCGGCCGTAAAAAACATTAATCGTATCTCGACATAGCAATCCATTCACCGTAACTTCTGTTCCAGCTTAATTTTCGGAAAAGAAAGGTCCAATAACATCGCCGGTCCATGAACTGCACCAAAAAGTTGTACGTTGAGGATGGAGAGGGTTTTAACAATAAATATTGGGTTTTGAGAGCACCAGTTGCGACAGTTTTGCTTATCGACGAAGTTACTAAGGTGGAAATGAGCTTCACCAGTCAGGATGATTTTTCGACGAAAATCCTTATATTTTCATGCATTTCAAGGACTCAGTCAGCAAAGTGACGCTATTGTTGGTGATCGGCCGATGTCTTTATGCTATGTCTTTATGCTAAATACCATATCACCATGAACTGCACCAAAAAGTTGTACGTTGAAGATGGATGGACAATAAATATTGGGTTTTGAGAGCACCAGTTGCGACAGTTTTGCTTATCGACGAAGCCATCGAGGTGGAAATCAATCAAGATAGTTTCTCGTTGTCTTTCCGGACTGTGTTTATCCATTTCCAGGACCCAATCAATAAAGTCACGATGCTAACTGAACTTTATAAGTCTCAAGGCCCAGGTCTTTATGCAAAGCACGACTAGGAATGAACAGACCTGGGGTTCCTTCAATACTTTGGGCTACAGCAGCAATATTCTCAACAGTCCTTAAGCGATGTGGTATTTCAGGACGACTGAAAAATGTTTTAGTTTTATGAACCGCCTCTGCCAGGTTTTCACCATTTTTATGGTGATTTTGAGTAATTTCAATGGGTTCTTAAACCGTGTATCGTTTCATTTTTTTTACTGGAGTAGTGTTCGCTTGTCAAAAGTAAAGAAAAGACAGCTTCAAAAGTGACTTCCGTCAGAATACAGGCTAGTCAAAATAATACCTCTTATTGAAAGACTCTTTATAATTGTCGCTTTTTAACCGCTAAAGTGGTTTTCGGCCGAGCTGGGATAGTTCTAACAAGAAATGGATATACTTTCAGTTTATACTGAGCCGCCTCTGTAGGGTTCATGTTTTTTTATGAGGTACTTCTATTTCATGTCAGTAATTCGCTCGGAGGGATCGACATTCCCTGCTGAAGGGCAAACAATATTGCTCGGTTCCACTGGAAAACGGTTCGGCCTTACTTGTGCTCATATCTGGTTATTAAAATTGAAATTAAAACTTCAAAATTTCAACACCTCATCAGCAGCCGTAGGTAGCAACGATTTTACAGCGGGCTATACACCAGCCATACATCAATCTTGTTTGGCAATATCAGCGCCAGATTGTCGAACGCGGCGCACGCAGAGTTCCCCCACTCAGTAAGAAATGCCGGCATGCAATTTGTAAAATTCCGCCGTGCATACGCGAGTATGTATGTGACACTTATTTACACAGCTTGACGACCTATTTGCATAATGCGTGTGAACATACGCACCGCGCTGGGGCGGTGCTGCCTATCGCGCAGAATGGAGCCACTTTGTTTTGTATTATTTTCCTTTGAAAAAAATCAATAAGTTTTAGTGGATCAGTGTCGCAAGACGCAGCACTGCACAATCAAAGTAGATCACTTGCGCGTACGCGTGGCGGGCATTTGCTGGTAATTAAATTATTCAATTGAATATCAATCTATCTGGCACTTAACTGGATATGTCATTAGTTTGATGTGACGAAAGAGAGTAGCAAAAAAGCAAAAAAGAGTGACGAAGAAGCTATTTCAAAATCGAAGCTAGTCAGCGTCGGCTTACACGAAAATCGATGAGACCAAGCCGAGATTTTATTGGTATAAATATGCGCACAGGATGTCAATACAATATTAATCTTTGCTTGCAATTCACAGCGCTAACTACATACACTTGGCAACTATTTCGAGAAGTATCATTTTCGGTAGACAACAAGCAAAATGTTTTACAAAGTAAGTGATCGAATTTGCTTGAAATAATTTCTTAAATTAAATAATCACTGCTCAATCTAACTTTTAGTTACTCATTCTCACCGTTTTTACCGTCGTACACGTGCATGCCATAGGTGAACTCAGAGATCTGCATGAGGAGCACGGCCCAGTGGCCTACGAGTTTCAATATGAAGTGCACGATCCACACACCGGGGATATTAAGTCACAGAAGGAGGCGCGTAAAGATGATCACGTTGTGGGCGTTTACCAGCTTATTGAACCGGATGGTCATCGTCGTATTGTGCACTACAAAGCCGATGATCATAATGGCTTCGAAGCGGTGGTCTCTCGTGAACCAACCAATATAAAAATTCCCGTTCCAGAAGTTCAACATAAGATTTTGGCACCGACTCTGTTGCATCATTGAGGGGATATAGAGGAGAAAGTAAAACCACCATTTTAGCAATACTCGTTATGACAGTCAAGTGTGCACATACATGGAGATGTGTTTGAGGATACGTGGTAGAGAATGAAAGTTTGCGAAACTCGTTACGTTTACTCACGTTGTTGTAAATACACTTACATATGCATATACATAATAATATTTAAGTCAAAGGATTTTTATGAATTTTAAATCAGTTAAGTTGTCCTTATATACAAATGCATATATATAATATATATGTACATATATAAGTAGCTATTTTTAGGTGAAAACGTTCTTTATGTGCCATACTACGATAAATATTTCTAAATATCTCTTATTTGGCGGCAGCTGTTAATTATGCCAACCCAATGTACAATAACTACAAATACTGAAATATACATACGCAATATGAATGAAAAGAATTTGTCTCATTTTGGTCACGACGTGTCTCAAACCCGGGCACTTGCAAAGGTAATGCCTCAGTGTTTCAATGATGATGTTGTTGTTGTAGCGGCTACCCGAACACCGAGAAGGGAAAAATCAAAAAAAAATCCAAGTCACAAAGAACAACAAACCCAAGAAACAGGAAACGTCCACGGGATAGGACAACAGACAAAAGGGAAAGAAGAATGAAGGCTGAAGGCGGAAGGGGCAAAGGGAAGAAATGGCGAGCGGAGACCCGACACACGCCACACACAAGGCAGACATGGAGGACGCGAGGCTCGAGAGGGAAGAGCTAAAACTGCAACAGGAACCAAAACCAAAGTGGACCAAGGGCCCACCAGGCCCCTCAAGCAACCCCAACCCCATGTCCGCCAAACGGGGCCCCTTAACCAACAAGAACCCAATCCACGAAAAGGGAGTATTTAAAGGTGTTGACTGACTCCTGCCGAATGGCGTTCAGTGCTTGCCTGTACGCCATCCTGTCCAGCAGTTGCTGGACGTGTTGCTGCATTGTGTACTTTAAATCTATTACGACTTTCTGATGTGCCTGAGTGAAGGTTGAGCTTCTATTAGATGCCTATCGGGGTGCACCTTGCGGTAACATCTCTAAGGAACTGCTTGCGCAGCAAAGCTCTATACTCCTTAACTTGTAGCGTAGACGCTTCGCTGTACAAGTGCTGCTCCGGCGACATCAGGAGTTTTCCTGTCGCGGTTCTGAGTGCAGTGCTCTGGCAAGCGTGTAATTCTTTCATCTGCGTCTCGTTCGTCTCCGGCTCCCAGATCGGTGCAGCATAGTTAAGTCATCTACTGTGCATGTTTTTCATTCAGTCCATTCTACCTTACTTAACATGCAACATGCCGTTCTCTACCTGATGCTTTGAATCTCATGAAATGAAGACCTTCCTCTATTTCCCCCGGCTGGTACTACATCGCAAACTTTCAAAGATGTATCGTTCTCATTCAATGGAGCCACAATACCTAGCCAACTTATCAGCTGCATTTTGATTCCCTGAATTATGTTAATGTCCCCATATATCTCATATATCGTATCGTTCCATCGTTGGGTGCGGTGTGCCAAAGACCATAAATTTTAAGCAAAGTCTTGCTCTCGAAAGCTTCCACCGACGACTTAACACAGTCCATATCAGACCATATAGCAGGGCGAAAGTGATGAGTGACTTATTCATCGAGAAAGGACTTTTATTTTCAATTGCCTACTCAGTCCCAAGTGGCAAGATGCGTTAACCCATCCACGTGGAGCGTCCGACATATTCAGTTTAAGGATACATGAAGTCTAATTGGCAGAGTCTGTTCACCAAGCTAGGCTGTATCCTGGCCATGAAGAAACCAGCTCCAAAGTTTAAGTTTCAATCATTTCTTCAGTTTCTTTTGCTTTATGGAAATATTAGCAATAATTTAGAGATACGCTGGCTCTACGTTTAAAGTGATCCACGACTTTTAGGTTTTCTTTCGTAGTCCTCTGGCTCGGAGAACAAAGATGCTCGAAGATCTGAGGCAGACTTCAGTGACAGCTCGGAGTCAGCGCAAGCCAACTCGCCCCTTTTTTCATTGCCTTCTAAAACCGTTTTACTCGGGACACTTTTTTTCACTTTTTCCCGTGATAGACTGTTTATTGTCTCTTTACATATTACACTATCACAGATTTAGATCTTAAAGATTTACCAATTAAAGTTGCTGGCTCCAGTGGTTGAAACTGTTGGTTCTATGTAGTGAAAGATGGAGGACGTTAAGATTTTTTGAAGCTTATGAGCACCAGTTTTAATACTTTTTCCCGTCCGCTAAATAGCGTATCTTCCAGCTTTGTAAGACAACACTTCAAGATAACACAGGACAGAAATAGAGGAAGTGTTTTGACGTCTCACTCGTGTCTGCCTCCACAAACTTGCAAATCGTTGATGCATTCCTTTTCACCGCGATTCGTCAACCGGCTCTCTCGGCAATTTCATCGCACAGAGTCTTTAATGTCTTTCGCATCGCATGCAGTGGTTTGGTTGCCAATAAATAATCTCAGGAACTCTTTAATTTTCTACAACAAGCAATCTAGTAGTAATGCAGCTTCTTCATAGTAACGTTATCTACTACCTTCTTGTCCTTCAAAGGTCAGTTTCTGACGTAATCCGATGAGAGATTATTGCTTTACTACTACTGTCGTTCGGCCACCAAATGTAGGAAGCCAGGTTAATACTTCTCATGTGATTTAGCTAACTGAGTGACTTTCCATTGCAATATTCCGAAATCTGAAGCAGCCCTATGTTCCCATAAATGGGATCGCCATTGGTATCACAATGGGTCGGTACGGTGGCTTCTGCCATTTTTATTTTTCTACACCGCAAATTCCTTCGCCATCCACCCTCTTCTAGTGTGGACATATCACAGCGGTTTTCGCTGCAATGTTTTCCACTACAATGATGTTTAGTGGCAACCCTCCGTCCGACACCATGGTTAAGTAACCTTTCGAGTGCAGCCATATATCTTCATATACCTTAGGCGTTATGGAGGATGTATGATATTTTGTTGGCTGTGGTCCACGACACCAAAGAGAGACACCAGATCAGTAACTACACGATAACGGCCAAGCTGCTCATCCGATTTGTGGAGTACGGTTTTTTTTTTGTTTTTCTAATAAATAGAGAGACGTGCAGTTTATTCCAAGCTACCTACGAACAGCCGATGGATTTTTACGAGGAGCATTTTTATTTTGGGTCAGAAATACACTCGAAGGTCTTGTGATTGCCAGCTGAGGAGGGACTGAGATTTGGAAAAACTAATTTTCTAGAATTTTAGGAATGTTTTGTTGCGATCAGCACTCGACTTGGGCTTCTGAATGTGAGTGAGCTGGTAACCACTTGGATATTGCGGCCGCCAGCCGTGACTAGTATCTTTGCAAGTGTCTTCGGTAGGAATGAGAATAGACTATTCTTTGAGTTTTATAAATTTTTTATTTGTGGATCAAAGTTACCACACTTTTTTATTAAATTTTTTAATATGTATGTACATATGTACATGGTAATATTTAACAACAATGCTTAATAAGATAATTAATAACTTAAAAAAGAGTAAATAATTTTCATTCGAAAATTCGAAGTATAGCATATCAATACGACCCTGCGTACGACTGTGGCAGAGGATCATATCCCGTAACTGGTGACGTGTAGTGAGTTAAATAGGGCGATGAATTCATATACTCGTCGGTCGGATTGCTGTAGGCGCTATGATAGTGCAGTGGTGATGAACTCTGGTGGTGGTTAGAGGCGTGAGCGGTAGCAGATAGTACAGGTAGAGATGAATAAAGCTCGGACGACTCCACGGTAACCTTATTGATATAGTTGTCATATTGATATTCTGCAGATCCAACCAAGGATGTCGCATAATTATCTGTCTTGTAGCATGCGTTAGGCGACTTATATTCAGGCGTTGACGAAGTTCCTAGACTTTTTGGTGCCGCAGGTGATGGTGGTGCTGGTGATAAGTAACCAACATGCGACGGCGAAGGTGAGTGATAAATTGGCGTCGGCGCAAGTGGAGTTAATGGTACGCTGCCTTGTGTTGAATATACAGCAGGTTGGGAGTAACTGGTGGCACTGTTTTTACTAAGGTTTTCCATTTGCAAAAGATGCGTAAGCTCATCCACTGAATAGCTGGACTTTAATAAAGCATCTGGATATATATTGGTGACCTTGGCTTCGTCATATACGTTAGGCAATTGCTGCGGGTATGATACTGGAAGTGGTTGTGTGGGCATATGGACAATGGGTGCGTGTGGAACGGCTGATTGCACTTTGTAAGCCAGATTTGGTTGTGCGTATCGGCGAATTGGTTCTGTGGCAGGTTCTTGGGGATAATCAAAGTGCGTTGCGCTAGCAGGTTTTGTAGGCGGCAAGACCGGCGGGGCGTATAGTTTTTGAGGATCGGGCACGAATCGATGCTGATGCACATGCTCTGAATTAAACTGACCATTTGGTACGCGATGTGAAGTTTTAGTTATTTGCGTTATTTGTTTTTGGGAAGCACCATTTACCGTTACCTTGCGACAAAACTCCTTGCAGCCGACTTTACATTCATAATAGCATTTATTGTAAGCTGATGATGGCGTGGTAGTTGCGGCAACCGGCGGTGCAGCGGTGGTTCTATATACCAACGGCCGCTTTGTTGTTGTTGTCCTCTTAGCATATTCATACGCCGTGGTATAAGGTCGCCGTGTTGTGGGTAGAGGCGTAGTTGGTGGTGCCGTAGTAGTTGTGGTTGTGCTAGTGGTGGTAGTAATCTCAGGGCATGGCACCTCTTCCCACACTTCCTCTTCACAATTTTGACAAAAATGCCGAAAATTGGGTGTAGCAACAGCTGGCGCCACAACAGCACCTAACAGCAGCAGTAATAACTTGAACGAGTAACACTGAAATTGAAAGTAAAAGCGAAAACTTGTATAAATTAAACGCAGAAAAAAATGTAAAGGAAAATATAAAAACGGGATGTGCTATGGTGTGATTGACCGCAAATGGGGCTACGAGTATAAGTGGGTTAGTGCGTCGATAGCAACGTCGGCAAAACCGTTATGTGTAGTTCAACGATCGTCCATTTGGCAGTTATGAGTTGTGATGGTGTTGGCGGGTGTTAGCGGGTGTTGGCGGTGTCAACTAGTGTACCGCTGTTGGCGAGCGACCCAGTCAGTGTCAATTTACCTTTAACAGCATTTTCTGTTCCTCTCAGCCGGCGCGCACTCAATTAATTGTGATTTTTTGATTATTGGCATTCGCTGCCGACTTTCGTTTCTGACTTCAAAAACTTCTTTTCTTACATTATGTTTTATAAGCGATTGTTCTTTGGTAGTGTCAAATGTATAGGCGGAATATTGTTTCGCTGCAGCACGTGTGGGCCAAACTTATTCATGCTTTGGCGAAGGTTGTGCCGGTAAAGTATTATATTTTACGTTCCGAGCACGTTTATCGGAAAAGTTTTCTGACGGAATGATTTTTTTTTTTTAATTTTTTTTTGGGAGGAAATTGAAATTAAACAAAAAAATTAGCGTAAAAGTTGAAAGTCATGAAAAATAAGTTATTTCCTATATTTAAATTCACTTCTTGCAAAAAAAAAAAAAATAGTTTTGTTCGTTGTCTAGATGGACAGTAACAATTTTCAACAAACTTTACTGGATCGTCTTCGTTGAGATTGCTAACGAGAGAGCGCAATTTCGACGTTTATTTTTTGGAGAGTGTGGCGAACTCGCGCTGAGAAAATTTGATCCAGTAAAAGCTAGCAAATATGAAAAACAGCTGATTTGTGATCCAGTATGATTGAATTTATGCCAACAAAACAAAATTGATTTAAAATTAAAATAATATTCTTTCTTTAATAAAACTTATATGTCAAAATAATAAATGTTTAAATGTAATATTGATTAATTTAACTGAACAATAAGAATGATTCCAAAAATAGTAAAACCACTCTTTAAACGAAAATGTGGTGGCAGTGGAATGGCATCATCGCCCGCACACCACCCTGCTTCCGTTGGGAAATTAGAAGTTAGGAAGGCATATATTTAGAATATAATACTAGGTATGTTCAAAAAGTATCGCGAATTTTGAATTTTCGCGTGTTACGTATAATCGAATTTCACAGCCACCGTATTTCCCAGATCAGGCCCCCTGTGACTTTTTCTTGTTCCCTAAACTGAAGAGGCCCATGAAAAGGCGACGTTACGCCACGATTGACGAGATAAAGACGGCATCGAAGGAGGAGCTGAACAACACAAAAAAAAAATGATTTTTTGAAGTGCTTCGAAGATTGGAAAAACCGTTGGCACAAGTGTATAATATCTCATGGGGATTACTTTGAAGGGCCCTAAAACAGATATTCATGAATAAATAAATAATTTTTGAAAAAACACAAAATTCGCGATATTTTTTTAGCACACCTCGTATATAATAATATTGTTTTTTGTACAACGACTGATTTTGGATTTCTATAATTTACTCGAAATCAGTGGCGACCAAAGGAGCCGCAGTTTCAAACTTATTTTCGTATTTCAGTCATCCCTACTGAAGTTCTAAGCAAGTTCTACATCAAGTCTCGTTTTTTTAGAGTACTTTTTGGAAAAATATATTGATATATTTACCGTTGTACGGCTATAAAGCATATAGAATTCCATCACTGTTGAAATACAATAAATTTTGAATACAAACAATAACTTAAAAATATCATACAATTGCCATGCCATACTTAAAAAGAGAAATAATAAACATTGTAAATGAATGAATTCAAAATTAACCGATAAAATAAACAACCGTTGTACAACTTCCTGGCTAAACTTTACTGGATCCTCTTCATTGATAACTCAGTAAATTTCTTTCGTTCGGAGAGTAAAGCATCTTACTCTCTCGTTACTTGCATGTGCTTACTGATATTTCTCAACAAATACAACTTGAGGTCTTCTTATATAACATAAATATTAGGTCAGGTAAAAAGTTCGTTCGGTTTTTATTTAAGAGATGACGGTATTGTCCATAGTACTAGTGTTACGTATCGCATCATGTCGTACTATACCGCGCTGAAAACGTGTTTATTCGCGCTAAAAGTTTGTCTTTGACAGCTTTTCGATTGATTCACTCAGAACGTTGTGAGCGCTCGTCAAAAAGGGACACCAGCAAAGTGAAAATTCGCTAAATTCTACTATTTTTCTTCGAAGAAGCAGCCAAAACGGGTGAAAAAATACATTTAGTTTAAGGGATCGATACTGTAAGCGAACGTTTAGCACAAAAGTGGTTTGCTGGTTCTGTTCCGATAATTTCGATGTCAAAGATGCACCAGATTTTGCTGTGTGTTCAGTGGGATTGTTAGGAATCATCTACCACAAGCTGCTCCCCTATGGCCAAACGCTCAATTCGGCCCTCTACTGCCAACAAATTGACCGCTTGAAGAGGCCATCTTTGATCAACAGAGGCCGAATTGTGTTCCATCAGGACAACGCCAGGCCACACACGTCTTTGGTGACGCGCCATAAGCTCCAGGAGTTCGGATGAGAGGTCCTAATGCACCCTCCTTATAGTTCGGAGCTGGCACCAAGTGATTACCATACTTTCCTGTTTATGGCGAACGCGCTTAATGGTGAGAAGTTGGCCTCAAGAGAGGCCTGTGAAAAATGGCTCTCCGAGTTTTTTGCCAATAGAAACGCAGCCTTCTACCAGGGGGTTATAGTGAAGTTAGCATCTCGTTGGAAACAAGTTTACGAATGAAACGACGCATATTCGCATAAAATCGGAGCAATGTACACAAAGTTAACATATTTTGAAAAAATCAATAAAAACCGAACGAACTTTTTACTTTACCTTTATGATACTTTGTAACCGCTGAAGCGATTTTCGACTTGATGTTTTTCCAACAAATGAATGGACCTATAATTCATCTTAAGCCGTCGTAATGGTAATGCTTATTCAATTAAAGCAGGTAGGAAAGCTTAATTTCAGATGGAGTTGTAGTTGCTCGACTGATGCTAAGTCCAAGAAAAAGCATAGGTTAAAAATATTATATAAGTACTGTTATACGCGAGGTAGGTCGATTTCTAGGCTTATGATAGTTTTTGGTAGGGCGTAAGTCATCATTAAAACTATCATATCTACCAAACTTCGTTGATATACATATATATAGGTGTAGTAGAAAGAAATCCATTATTTGTACATAAAATTGAATGATTTAATTTTCTTTATTCTAATGGTTCCAAACGGCTTTTTGTGTAATTTTAGCTCTTGGACAATCGAAATAGTGCTTTCATGACTGCCGGACTTGACAATGTCGATGATTTTATCGACATTTTCAACAATTGGCGTTTTCGCCCTTGTCTATGAAAAACTGTAAAATATACCGTATTTTCTCTTTGCTAGTGCCCATCTTTGACGCACGCTCAAACAAAACTGAATCAACCAATCATAATACTGTGTCATCTTTCTAACACTATCTAGCCATAGAACCCCATCGGACGGATTTGTACAACGCAAGATACAGATAAATATCGCCAATTATTGAAAGAAATTTTATTACCCCACCCTCACCCTCCTCCGAACGGACGATGGTTTTTTACGGACTTGAACACTGGTCTTCAGAATAGCAGCACGCAATGCTAACCATTCGGCTATTGCGGCCGCCATATATATAATATACGAATAAATACATAAAATTGTAAACTCTTGAATGCTTTTTGGCGGAGTTTTGGCAAAAGCCCTAAATCTACAATCTTATTTGTATAGAATATCAAATTTTACGGTATTTTTCTTGTGTAGAATACTAAATTTCACGGTATTTTTTTTTTAAATTTTTAACTCAAAATATCTAATCTAAATAATCAGTCGTACATATGCTATAACAGTCATATAGAACTGGTTCCGACGAACAATCATTTGTTTGAGATATCTTAAAAATTGAGAGAATAGTTTCCGTACAAACAGACGGACAAACGCACATAGTTAAATCAACTCAATTTATCATTCTGACCCAGTCGAAGTAAATTTTGAAGGGATCAGAGAATAAAAATTTATTGTCTATAATTTTGGAAATTGGTCGGACCAGAATTCGTATCTTGGTCTACCAAATAGTAGTACACACTGCTAAACACTCGCCTACTGTGGACGCCCAATTGAATTTTCATTCCACCTTGAGTCAAGAATGTAGGCACCATAGTTTTGGTCTTACTATTTACCACTTAATTATAAAGTCAGTGAGAAATCATTGGATCTCAAGCAGAAAAACAGTGGCTATTAGTGGCTACATAGCGGGCCCTTCATTTCATTTAAATTGATAATTATAACTTTCCAGTTCAGTACCGCACTTATAAAGTTTGCCTTGGTTTCCAAGTTTAGGTTAATGCCATATAGATTTGGAGGGTAAATTGCAGACAACGAAGAGAACTAGTTCCGAAAGTCCATAACAGTTCGACCTGAAACTCTTAAATAACCACTGCATTGGATCTCTACGGAAACCAACCTCGATTATCGACTAAACTAACTAAATGTTTATTGGTAGTTGAACTTCTCTTTATGATATCTAACTTGAGAGAGAGATATAAAGAGTTTTCTTTTCAATGGTATAAATTATTAACATTGTCTCATAAGCCCCCCCTCAAACCGAACTCCATCGTATGCCAAAAACTGCTAAAAGCTGCACTCAAGTGAGCGGTTGAAACGCAAGAAGGCGAATGTAACCGCTGTTATCTGACTAGAACCCTACTCCGCTATCCTCCCTGCTTTGATGGAAAGAAAATAACTGCATTCAAATACTCAGCAGACTGATTGCTCACTTAGCTGCCGCTCGCTGAAACCAGACAAAAATGAGATAGTTAGTATGTTTAATAACAGTTGTACAAGACGTTGCAACCATGGTAACCACAATAAAATAGTCAATACTGATTTGACTTGACTTGACCTTTGTTGGATTTAGACGTGGTTCTCTTGGTTTTGGCACACGTGGATGACCTATTCCGATGTTGTAGACTTTACCCGTATGCGATTGTTAGACCAGTTACAGTGCGGTCTGAATCGACTCACTTTAGCACGCCCTCGAAGACATTTTCCAAAATTAGTTTTCAACTGAAATCTCGGTGAGAACTGAACTTGATTGAGAGCATTGTGCATTGTAAGCGGGATAATTAAATGATCTATTTCCGATCATTTCTTTGACTTAATAAGCTCCTTTTGAACTTGCCCTTCAAGTGAGATAAGCCTAAAACTCAACAGACCCATGACCGCAAACCAGGTACAGTGCGACGTATAGCAAACCGGATATCCTGAAATAGCGGTTCTCTTACATTTGAACACTTGCCTCTTACACTGAATAGCTATAAACTTCCCATCAGCTATTATAAACTTCAAGACGTTGCGTTTAGGGAGAAAACACTTTTGAAACCTGAGTTCGATTAAATTTACACCAGATCACTGATGATCGAATCACCAAACACTGATGATGGGAAATATATTTCATTAGTCGAATAAAATAAATTTCAAATATCATTTGTACCAAGGGCCTCCAGTGAGAAACTGATTACAGTTTAAAAGCAGAATGTAGTTGAATGAAACCATGCTCAAAATTGAAAGCCTTAGTGTGATCCATAAAAGTGAAACCCACCGCCGACTGGCTTTAATTACTTGGCTGTGAGAACTGTCTAAACTGAGCAGAGTTAAAGAGGATCAAATGTGGCCTTACTTTAAGCCTTGCAAGTTAATATTTCCTGTACTTTTACCACCAAATACTGTAACCACGGCTGCAGCTTTGGCCAATATATACCAACTTGGACAGCGTTCCTAGCGCTCATGTGATCATTCAAGCATTTAAAGTAAAGCAAATCAAGGAATGCATTCCTCAGCCTGTTCGACGTTAAGAGAGGTAAAGAGTATATGCAATAAAAGACAACCATTCCGTTGAAGATAGCAAAAGCTAACAACACTTGAATTCTGCAATTTCCACCAAAACCAGACAACGAGTTTACTTTATTTACATTTAATCATAAAACGAAAAATTTGTTGATATTTATTTATAAAAACTTTTATACAAAAACTAACTATTTTTGAAAAAATTATGCAGACAAAGAAAATAAATTCTCACAAGCACCTAGTCTCATCTTAGACCTAAAGCGGAGCGATACAAGTATTCGAAATCTCGAATATGTGGTAGTGCTGGATGTAATGGAAGATTTGATCTCACGCCAGCTGCATGCGGCTCTGCTGGTGCATCGCCTGGAAATGTTGAGGAGATGTCGTCGGGTTGCAGAAATTCTTGAAGCATTGGTGCATCGCCTGGAAATGTTGAGGAGATGTCGTCGGGACGCAGAAATTCTTGAAGCATTGGTGCATCGCCTGGAAATGTTGAGGAGATGTCGTCGGATCGCAGAAATTGTTGAAGCATTGGTGCATCGCCTGGGAATGTTGAGGAGATGTCGTCGGGTCGCAGAAATTCTTGAAGCATTGGTGCAGTGGGTAGAGACATTTCGATGGGTATATTAGCGGTGGGCATTGCTACTGCGTGTGCTGGCGCCTCCATAACCATTAGACCTTTATGTGATATTGGTGGATTAGTCATATTCTCGGCAATGTTAATTGGAGTGGTTTCATCGAGGTTTGTTGTTTCTTCTGTAGTATTTGTTTGCGTTGAAGAGTTCTGTTTTTGTTTAATAGCATTGAAAGAGTTTTGTAGAGGCAGTTCATTCTTCCAATCTGTTTGTTGCGTATCAGTAGATTTTTCAACTGATTTAGATTTTCCAACAGCCACCTCATTCACATCATTTTTAAGGCTTCCGGCTACAAAAGTGCCTTGCTGTTTATTTTTCGTCAAATCTATGTAGATTTTTGAGTTTTTACTCTTTTTCTTGGAGTTCAAAATAATAAATCTAATCTTCTTATCTCCCGACAGTGTTTGCTTATCGTTTTTATCCTTTGCACGCTGTCCTCTTGCGTCATCGGGCGCAACAGTGGTAGAATCAGTAGTGTCTAAGGTTAACTTCTCCGCTGGTCCTTGCTCAGGCATCTGTGAGGCCGTCTGTTCTGCGGCTTGCTCATAACGTTTCAAGCTCTCATAGTATCCTGGTTGATCCGGTGTGATGATTTCTATAGGCTCATCAGCATTTAGTATTTGATATTGTGGCGCACCGAGCTCGTAGGTAACTGCATCACCCTGATGTATTTCATTACGTAGGTCCTGCCATGTGAAGGATGTGGTGTCATTCAGGTTCCCATAGTTCCCATAGTTATCACTGTGTGCGTATACGTTTTCGATGTTTTTGCTCGCGTACGCGTTGCTTACTAATAAAGCGATTGCTAAAGCTACTGCTAATACGTCTGAGGCCATCTTACAACTGTCGGTTGCAACTGTTTATTGTCTATAATTGCTGAAATGTAGACACGGCGATGTTTTGATACAAAACGTGCGAAATGCCATAAACTCGAAAGCATAAAAATTAAATATAAGACAGTTGATAAAAAAAATTATCACAAAATGTATGTAGGTACATACGAGGTGTGTTCAAAAAATATCGCGAATTTTGTGTTTTTTCAAAAATTATTTAT